TCGCAGGTTGATGGCGACACACCTTAGTGTTTAGCTGTCTAGTTCTGTTCATGTTGGAGCTCCATTGTAGTTTTTATTAGACATTTGACAGTATTGTTCTAGAAGTTGTAAAGGCTATGTGCCTTATTTCCTTCTTGTCAGACATTTGTATATGAGACTTGTTGAGTATTCCAGATTTATCTACTCAGATTTTGGCTATGTATTTCTGTATTGTTGGATGATGAGATATTTATGTGACTGTTATCATTTCATCAGTATTCCTTGTATAACCTTTTACCTGTTTTGTACCTACACCAGTTATTGATTCTACTAGACAGATGTTAATTGTGATGGTGAAACATGTTATTGCACGGTGTGGTGCATGGCAGGTTTGACATTCTTGGTTTCACCTTGGACTGCAGCCTTGTGTGAACCCAGGGGCGTCACAATTATACCCAAGGAATTGATCTTCAATAAAGCTCATCTTGGTTGTGGATGAAGCTTGGAAGTGCAATTTGACTTTGAATAGTAAATAGCTTCATTCCACTTTTCCGCCAACCTCCATTGGATGTGATCGTGAAAACACAAGTCCAACCAACCTCTAACTTCAATGTTTGTTTAGAATATCTAATGAGCAAACACAAACACTAGACAAACAATGTTAGGGATTGTTTGTAAATCATCAAAACAAGATTAGAGATATAGGCTCATAAACATGAGACCTAACAAAGTTTTCTTTTGGGGATGTAGAACCTTGATGTTCTCAGAATGACTTATTGTTGCCTTTGAATGATCCAAGACTACATCCGGAGTCACACGTTTAGAACTACCCCCTTGCGAGTGTGAAGTCTTAACGTGCTCATGGGCTTCAACACGTACCCCCAGGCTGGAGGTGACAGGAATTCTCCCATAAGGGGAGGCATCCTTGCCCCTTTTGTGCATATCACATGAACAAGTACATTGAGGTGTCCTGATTTGTTTGGAGACAATAGGACACCTTTGAGCAACAATTGGCTTAATAGGAATCTGTGTACGACACCCAATCTAAGGAGCTACTTCGGTTTTCATCAGTGCTTTACCTCGATCTTCGTAGATAGGACCAAAACGATCCGCCATCGTGATTTTGAACTTTAACAGGTTAGGGCTGACCTAAGACTTCAGTGGTGGCGTGGTAGAGGTGGTCGCAGCAGATGGACCAGGAGCGAACGTTGACGTAGGCAAAGAAGAGGCCGCGAAGACTTTTCTTTGGACGAGACCGTTGATGGCGTCTCTACCAAAGCTTTGGGCGAGACAGCTGGGACTGTCTTGACTAAAGGAGATAGTTCCTACTATCTCTAAACTTTGTTTCCGCATGATCTCAGACTTTGGAATCCAAACTTTGCGGGATTTTGGTGGTTCTTTGGTCACCGCTTTCTTCTTCATTTCTTGTGCCTTTTGCACAAGGGCACGAGCATGTGCGGCACGTGCGATCCATCCTCGTCGAATAAGTACTTTTGACAAGAATCCATTCTTCGATTGATGGCTTGGAGGAAGTGATAGTAACTTGTCATTGAGGCGGTTGGATTATCCGACGCTTCCTAGAATCCAAGTCTGCATAGTAGCGAACTCCATCCATTTGCTCCAAAGCTTTTGAAGCTGATGAGTGAGGCATTGATGTTTCCTCTGACGAACCCTCTTCGTCAGAGTTGGAGAATTTTTGTCAGACGACTCATTAACTGGGGAGGAGCTATTGTGAGCAGAGCCTCTGACTTTGTCGATTACCGAAGTAGCATTGTGAGGGGAAACATCAACAACGATTGGGCGAGAGTCGTCACCCATAGCCTTCATCAGAGTAGAAAACCAGAAAACCTTCTTCGAAGACGAAATCTTCCTGCACTTGCGAGGAGAGGAAGACCTTGATGAAGATGAGGAGAGATACTCCTCAAACTTAGCTTGGTCAAATTCTTATTCGACCATTGAGTCGACCAGGGTCTTGATCGGCTGCGACACTCCAGTCTCGACACCAAGACTGCTGGCTCCCACTATGGTTTCTAGCGTATTTACATCGGGAATGATTTTTATTGCATAATCCATTACAAATATTTCAAGGGAAACGAAAGAGTGAGCCTTACACACGTAAAACTTCTCTTTACAATAAAAAAATATTGATGCTCTCTAGTAACACACACATAAACTCCTATTTAGTAGCTCCTTCTTGCATGGGATCTTTGCCTATGCCAGGGATACGTAATCCGTGGACCACCGATTCAACAATCCAAGTTGGATGTGAAGAATGTTGAAAGTTGATGTTTCGACGGGGAAACAAGAACATAAGTGAATATCTTAAGAAGTAAGATGAACACTCTTCTCGAGATCAAATCTAAGTTTGAATTCGAGGAAACACCAAAGAGCACTTGTGATTGCTTGAAGGTGGTGAAAGACTATCTCTTTTGCTCAAAATTCGCCAAAAGCTCATCTCTGCTTTTAGATATTCGTCTCTCCTCTTCACAAGTGCATAAGAGAGGTATTTATAGCCATTGGAAGCCGTAACTGTCGAAAGGGAGTTGAAACAAATGGTGATCTTCATCCCCTTTGGGTGAGACAGTGCTTACTGTCTCAGCCAAAGGGGTGGTTCCAGCCCTTTTTGTGACTACTACCCACTCTCTTAAATTGCGTTAATTGCTGCGTTTTTCGAGGGTAGTGGGTGTCTCTCATGGATACACTATCTCGGC